TATGCTCTCTCTCTCTCTGCCCCTCTTCTCTCTGCCTTTTTCTCTCACGGCCAGCCATTACTGCCAGCCATTAACCCTGTTCCTCTTCTCTCTTAGTCTCTCTACTCTGTCAGGCCTATAATAAACTGGTTAATATGTCTCTTAATCTTGCCTCCCATCCTGCCCCTCTTCTTTATTTCTAATTTAAACAAAAGAATAACAGCCACCTCTTTATGACCTTCAATAGTTTGTTGAGAGATTCTGTTGCATGTAACTTAATGTAGGTGCTTGGAATCCAAACTCAGGTCTTCAGTTTACTCATCGAGTGTCCTCTACAGCCTTCTGTACAATGGCTTTCTAGAAAATCAGTAGCCTTACTATATATCAATGATGGTATGTTGAAAAAGAAATCAGGGGAGCAAAACCATTTGCAATAGCCTAAAAAGTACTTGGAATAAACCTAAGGAAGTAAAAGATGTGTATATGAAAACTTTAAAACACTAAAGAAATAGAGGAAGACACCAAAAGGCAGAAAGACCTCCCATGTTCAAAAGCCTTGTGAGCATGGACATCCTACCAAAAGCAATCTACAGACTCCATGTAACTCATTCAAAATGGAAACTCCATCCTTCACAATTTTTTAATTAAAAAATTCATATAGATACACAAAATTCCCCACATGGTCAATCCCGAGGAATAAGAATCTGCAAGAGACCTGATGATGCTTTCTTTCATGTCAGTATTACAGAACCTTACTATTAAAGCCAGCGTGGTATTGATACAAATGCCAGACCAAGAGAGTAGAATAAAGGGTCCAGATAGAAACCCACACAACTACAGCTACCAATTTTTTACTTAAAATTTAAATTTTTATTTTATGTGTTGGTCTTTTTGCTTTTATGTGTGTTTGTACACATACAATCAGCCTGCTTGTGTAGGCTGGAAGACAACTTGTTATCCCATGGCACTGGAGTTACAGATGATTGTAGGTCACCATGTGGCTGCTTAGATTTGAATCTTGGTCCTCTGCAAGAGCAGACAGTGCTTCTAACTGCTGAGCCATCTCTCCAGCCCCCAGCCATTGATTTTTGACAGGGAGGTTAAAAAACGTACACATTGGAGAAAAGTAATCCTCTTCAACAGAACACTTGTACTTACTCACAGAAGAATGAAACTAGACCTCTCCTCACTCCTGCAAAGTCAATTCTAAGTGGATCACATACCACATCCTCTTGTCAGATAGCTGCTCCAGTTCTAGCTGTGCACCTCCCTACAGGCTGGACTGGGGAAGGGCTCATTGACCTCAATGCTTGTTGTATTTGGTCATCTGAAGCTGGATGGCTCGTGTGTGTGTGTGTGTGTGTGTGTGTGTGTGTGTGTGTGTG